GCTGCAATGCTTGGTAAGAAATGTACGCATTATCCTGCCCATGTAATTGTAACCCCTCTGTACAGTATGTTCACAAATAAAATAAAATAAAATTAAAAAAAACAAACAAACTGTGATCCTCAGATCTCAGCCTCCGGAGTAGCTAGGATTATAGGCATGAACCATTGGTGCACAGCTTATTAATTTCAATACTTGTTTTTGTTTATCTGAATTGCTTACTTAAAGGAAAATGTAGTCTTGTTTTATTTTGTCCAAGACCTAGGACTGAACCCGATGTCTGAGACTTGCTAATTTAGCTCATTGGCTGATATTCTGTGATCTGAGCCTGAGCCATGCATCTGGGCCCTTTTTTTGTGCCAGTACCTGGAACTGTCCCTTAGCTTTTGCTCAGGGCTGATAATACTCTAACACTTGAGCTGCAGCTCACTTCCGGCTTTTTTGGTAGTTAATTGGAGAGAAGAGGCTCACAGACTTTCCAAAGCCCAGGCTGGCTTTGAACTGTGAGTCTCAGATCTCAGCCTCCTGTGTAGACATGAGTCATGGGTGTCTGACTACCCAAGAGTTTTTAATTGCACAGAAGTGAAACAGAAAAGGTAGAAATAGTACCAGCTTCTGTTCCCTGTTCTTTCTTCCATCTTGGTTCCTTCAAGAAAGATTGTCTCCACTTTGGTCTTGTTTATTCTTAAGATAGTTGTGACTTGGGGCAGACAATGGAATTAATGGCTCATTCCTGGATAGTAACTTAGCCATCTCATGTCCTTTGAGGTACTGGAAAAGGTTGTGTAGAGTCAAAGCTCAGATTTGACTATAAAGGGAGATAAACATTATAAGTAACTCCTATCTGTGACCAGCTGTTTGCCAGTACCCTCTTTTCTACATTTCTTAAAGAAATCTATTAATTTTATCAGATGAGCAGAAAAGCTCCAAAGCTATGTACATATGACCATATAAAATGATGCTAAGGGAAACAAACCCCAAGATATGGACACAAGAGATCTTTCTTTGTTGCTGTTGTTTTTAATGTATTATGTGATTTTTTTTTTGGTTGGTCATTGGGCCTGAACTCTGGGCCTGGGCACTGTCCCTCAGCTCTTTAGCTCAAGGATAGCGCTCTACCACTTGAGCCACAGTGCCACTTCTGGCTTTTTCTGCTTATGTGGTTCTGAGGAATCGAACCCAGGGCCTCATGCATGCTAGGCAAGCACTCTACCACTGAGCCACCTTCCCAGCCCCTGTATTATGTGATTTTTTTGTTTACTCTGTAGGTTCTTCCCCCCATGATATATTCCCTCGTCACTGTGCTTGATTTTGGTACCCTGCATCTTGTATATACATTTGTCTAATTTGGGGAGGGAAAGGGAATAACAAAATGCTGAAACAAGAACACAGGATGACCCATTGCAACACTGACACCCACAAGACAGTATATTGGAAATGAACTCTACAGCTTTGGGCGGGGGAGGGGGAGAGGTGGGGAGGTGTGAGCGAGGTTGGGGACAGGGAAGATGGGGAAAGGATAGTGGGAGAACAACAAGGGAAGGGGTACCAGTGCTCTATGAGAATTTACTCACTACCTTACTCATATAACTGTAACCCTCTGTACAACATCTTTATAAGAAAATTAAATTAAAAAAAAGAAACCTATTAATTTGGTGAATGCAATGGCCAGAGGGAGGGTAGATCTATTATCTCTTATTTAATTCTTTTAAGATTGAGACAGTGTCAGAGGTTTACTAGGTAAAAAAGTTTAGTGCATAAACTTTTTACCTTCTCAGTATACACTTTCAAAACTCCCTGAAAAACTGAGGCCCCAGAGGAATAAGACTCAGATTGAATTACTTCCATTTGTGAAGGCTTCCTGACATCTCAAAACAAACTCCCCTAGTAACTTTTCTAAATCTCACACAACTTAATGTGAATCAAATTGTATTGTCATTATTTATAAGCTTATCTTTTAGATTGTGAACTCTTTATGCTTGTGTACCTATCCCCCAACATAGAGGCTAATATTTCAGAGGCTTGAATAAATATATATTGAATAAAAGAACTATCAGAAAACATTTAAGAGCAGTTTCAAGGATATCATAAATTTTTTTAAGGTGATGTTATATATTTATCTAAGTCATAGTTATTTATAATAGCCTTTTTTTCCTCTCCTCACAGGACCAGTGTTCCCTTTCAACTTTCAAAATGAATATCCATGCAACACTCAGTGCTTACAAAGTGGAGTTAGCAGAGTAAGTCCTAGGAATAGTAATAAAAATGATCCCAGGGGTGTACCTTTGTAGGTATCTTTGCAGGCTTACTCTGTTACAGGTTCAAATCCCAGCATGTTTGTGTGCATGTGTGCACATGTAAAATAAAAGGAAATATTAAAATTTATAGGCTGGAAAATAACAGTTCTTGGATTGCTTCTTTATGATAGATACTATACTTTATAAATTGACCATTAACTTATGATAACTTTTAAAGCTGTGTTAAAGACAATATGTCAAATATATACCTAGCATTTCCAGATTTAAACTTTTTGTTGCTGTTGTTGGTTATGGAGTGTGAAGTCAGGGCCTGGACACTGTCCTTGAGCTTTTTTGCTAAAGGCTACCACTTTGAGCCACAGTGTCACTTCTGGTTTTTCTTGTGGTTAATTAGAGATAATTGTCTCACATACTTTTCTGCCTGGGCTAGCTTCAAACTGCAATCCTCAGAACTCAGCCTCCGGAGGAGCTATGGTTACAGGTCTGAAACATGGGTACCCAGCACATTTTTCAATATTGATTTAAAAAAATTTTAAAGAATAACCTGATATGATTATAAATTCTTTCAGGAGAACTTGCTTGTTTTTGTACTGATACCAAGGCTTGAACTTAAGGCCTGCACACCCACTCAGCTTTCAGTATCATAAACTGTTTTTTCTTGGCTGCCTTCAGTTCTACAGATCTCAGCCTCCTAAAGAGCTAGAGTTATAGGCATGAGCACCATTACCCCAATTTTGTATATCTTTCTCTAATTCTATTTGCCACCAGTTTCATTGATAACTATCCCATTTTTATTTTGTACATGAATATATTTGATTTTTGCTACAATGAATAGAATTCTTCTGTTTTACAATTTATATAAATACTACTGTACATTTACTTATTTTTGAGATTTACATTAGTTTATATTAAAATTAAATTTTTCACTAAGTAAATTATTTACACAGTATAAAATTCAAAATATAGTGTTTTAATAAAAATTTTTTCATCCAGTCTGTATCTCCTAATCACATATTTCCTCTTAACAGAAGTAGCCATTCTAATCCAGATACTTTGAGAATTCACAAGCATTAGTGTATTTGTAAATGTAATATGAGGCAGCTTTACAGTGAATAAAACAGTTCTATGAATGCTGATGTAAAAAATACTTTATGTGAATATACCACATTTTTGTTCTATTTTTGTATTGATGAACACTTGTTCTTAATTTATAATAAATGCTACATTAACTATCCACCTGTATCTTTCATTTTGTCCAAGTTTGATAGGTTCTGTGACATTACTAGGTGATTTACTAGTAATTTACTAGGTTAAATTTACTAATAATTTACTAGGTTTAAACAGTGTGTTTACATTGTTTTATTGGATACTGCCAGTTACTTTCTAAAGTGATTATATATACTGTGCATAAGAGCTCTGATTTATCCATCTCCCTGTCAGCCTTCAATATTTTTTTTCTGGCTCTTTTGTGAACTTTAAATTCTACCTCTTTGTTGCTTGAGAAGTTTTCAGATGTTATGAGCGACCATTTAAATTATTTTTTTTTGTGAATTGCCAATTCATATCATTGGATCATTTTTCATGTGTTGCCTTTTTCTTCTTATTTTTTTCTTTTTTTGTTGGTCATGGGCCTGATCTCTGGGTCTGGGTGCTATCCCTCAGCTCTTCAGCTCAAGGCTAGCACTCTACCACTTGAGCCACTTCTGGCTTTTTCTGCTTATATGGTTCTGAGGAATCACACCCCTGGCCTCATGCATGCAAGGCAAGCACTTTACCACTGAGCCACCTTCCCAAGCCCCTTTTTCTTAATTTATATGCTCTTATAATAATATATTCTTAATTCTAATCTTATATACACAGCAAATGTTTTCTTTTTTAGGAATATGATTTGTGAAAGAGTTGTCTTGCACAGGTGTCTGTTTTATATTTTTATTTTTGATACAAAGCATAGTGATATGTCACAGCTAGTCTTTTTTGCGGGGGGAAGGGGTACCGGTCCCGAGGCTTGAACTCAGGGCCTGGGCACTGTCTCTGAGCTCTTTTTGCTCAGGGCTAGCACTGTACTACTTGTGCCACAGCTCTACTTCTGGATTTTTGGTAGTCTATTGAAGATTAGAGTCTCATGGTTTTCTATCTGAGTTGGTTTTGAACTGCTGTTCTTAGATCTTAACCTCCTGAGTAGCTAGGATTACAGGCATGAAACTGGTTCCCTCCCATGTATTTTCAGTTTTTAATATGTACAGATATGATAGTACAATCTTATATTGGAGTTTGATTTTAAATCTAGCACTTGAGTGCTATTACCTAGTTAAATGTTCATCTGCTAAAATTTTCATTCTTAGAATGCTTTATTTCAGTTAATTTACTCTTAATAGTTACAAAATATTGTGAAGAACCAAACCATTTCCTATTTTTTATCTTTACTCAAAATCAACTTCTGAATTTTTGTTTTTATTTTAAAACATAATTTTATTATTATTATGGTGTTGTACAGAGGGGATAACAATTCACAATTCATGTAATGTGTACTTTTCTCTTTGGACAGTGTCATTCCTTCTGATTTTTGTTTCTTATCAATTATTTTGATGTCTCAGTAGTTGACAGTTACAGTATCAGATAATGAATCCTCCTTCTTTTAGACAGTTTACGTTGGTAGCAATTGAAGAAAGTTAAGGAACAGCTTACAACCTGCCAACAGAGATGTTCATTTTGAAGACTGATGTCTCCAAAGAAATTGACCTTAAAGAATTATGATGTGGACTGTTTGCGAATTAGCTTGTATCAGTACAAGAGGAAGTAATCTTTTAGGGGTGGATTGTATTGGTCAAGTTTATAAAACTGATTATATAATCAGAAAACCATTTATTTTATAATGAGAAATCTTGCTGTTTTGTTCTCTGGTATTCTCTAGTTTGGGATAACTAGTTATTTTCTGCTTGTAGGAAGGTTGATGGGGATCTAACTTGTGATCATAGTATATCTTGATGATCATGAAATCAGAATAGAAGTTAAAAATAAGTTTAAAAATTCCATCAGATCAGCTACGCACTGTTGGTTTATACATGAAATCCTAGCTATTCAGGAGGCTGATACCTGGAGAATTTAAAACCAGCTCAGACAGAAATGTCCATGAGTTCCCCCCATTTCAAAAATAACCAGTAAAAAGCAGGACTGGAAGCATGGCCCAAGTGGTTTAGGACCTGACTACTATCAAGCAAGCTGAGTGAGTATGAGGGCTGACTTAGTACTTTCAAAAAAAAGGTCATCAGACCATTTTAGCCAATCTTAAAATATAGTCCTGGAACAACTGGATAAAAGAATCATCAGTACATTCAGTGCATATATGTTTCTGCTTTTCTTTGTGTCATTGTCTTCTATTTCCATTGCCAGTTTTACCTAAAAGTTATTCCACATATAACTCAACATCAAGATCTTCTTCATGTGAGATTCTAAGAGCAAATATTCTAGTATTTGTAGATAAAACACTTTAATAAGCTAATAAACGTGACTCTGAGATTCTCTATGTTTAGGACCAATATAATTCACCCTTGGTATCATGTTCCTTTTCAAAAATAGTTATACTCTCTGATCCATGCCTATAATTTCAGCACCCAGTAGGTTGAGACACGGACAACTCTTAAATTTGAGTCTGGGCTAGATAATGAGATCCTATCTCAAAAAATAAGCATAATCTGATAAAAATTAATGTGAATATACTCATTTTAATAAGCTTATCATTTAATGATTGCTTATACTTTGGCTCCAAATATTTCCTGGTTAATGTAGGAAAATTATCTCTCAGTGATAAAAATAGGTTAATTTGTAAGTTTTAAGCCTGTGTTAAATGCATTTTTTTGTTGAACAGTGTAAGACGAATGGAATGCAAGCCTTTTCTCAAGGTCTTAATGAACAACAGCAACATCAGTCTCCAGTTAAAAAAGGTAAAATTTTATGATAATTCCCCAATTTTATCAGAGTGAATTAGTGCTTATATAAAGTCAACATTACTTTCTTGCTTAGCTACAAACTTATATACATAATAAATGTTACTATAATCTTTTAGGTTGATTTTGGACTCTTAACCACTGTATTGATTTGGCTACTCAAAAGGAAATCTGATTATACTGGATAAACTATGGCTTAAAACAAGATGAAAGTTTATTTACATACCATGTAAAATTCTAAGCTTGTGCACTGAGTGGCTCTGCTTTGTGATATACTTTTGCCCTAGTATTCTCTGTCTCGTTATGCCACTGAAAACATGTAATTTCCATAAGAGAGTTAAAGATAGCTGCCTCTGTTCCTGACCTCAGGTCTTCTAGCTATCAGAAAGAAAGAGGAAAGGAAGTTTCTGAAGTTAAAATTGTAATTAGACATGGAATTTGGGGTTGCCAATTCTTTTCTTTCATCATTTCAATACTATTGTGTCTCCTATCTTCTTGTCCAGCATATGATGGTCTATTATGTTGATAGCTATTAATGAACCTTTCTGATAAGAAATTGGTATATGTTTGACTCATTGCTTACCTTGAAGATGATGGGTCAGTAGTGTGTCTCCTATTACTACAGAGTACTCCCTATTCACACTAAAAGCATAATGTATATTTCTTGAGTTGAATTAATTTTTATTGGATTAAAATTTTGTATTGATTGAGATTAGTTAGGCTCATGTTAGGGCCCATTTGGTGGTAACTGAATGGACAATTGATAATGCTGCTGTTATAATTTATAGTAGCAGTTCGTTTTACTATACCCAAATTACCAGTTTTCTCTTTCTTAATTTCCTTTCCATGTTAAAGGAAAATTAGAAGTGGCAGATGTTTTTCAATGTGTCTTCTCCCACTCCTTTTTGCATAGATACTATCCATCATTTTATAAAATAATGAACAGTTCAAGGACATCCAGAAAGAAATTAGCCAAAAAGTGATCTAGAAACTGTTATGTTTTATAACATTACATTTAATATTTAATATCTACAGAGAGAATTAAATACAGCAGAGATTTCCTGTTGAAGCTCTCAAGTGTTTCCATCTGCAGAAAAAAACCAGACTTTTTGCCTGATCATCCCATTGTACTTCAGAAACCAGTAAGTACTTTAAAAGTTTGTATTGTAAAAATTGAATTTTGAATATCTGTCTTCAACATTTTTTTGTCGGTTGTGGGGCTTGAACTCTGGGCCTGGGCACTATCCCTGAGCTCTTCAGCTCAAGGCTAGTGCTCTACTACTTGAGCCACAGTACCACTTCCAGTTTATGAGTGGCTTATTGGAGAAAAGAGTCTCTCACAAACATTGCTGTTAGGGCTGGCTTTGAACTGATATCCTCAGATCTCAGCCTCCTGAGTAGCCAGGATTACAGGTGTGAGCCACTGGTGTCTAGCTGTCTTCAACATTTTTATTTGATTATATCTGCAGATAGTGATCTTTTCATATTGCTATATTCATAAAGTTAATTATCTGAAAGAGAAAATCTAAATGTATAACATAACCAGTTATAAAATAATTATCACTTATGGAATAGAATGGAATAGTTATATTTTGCTTATGAAATATTATTCTGTTAATGACTCATGAAAATGCCATCTTATACTCTAAAAGTTCTATTTTGTTAAGTTCTACAATCTCAATCTTAGATTTATTCTATTGCTTTCTGTGAGGTTGAATTTTACTTTTCTTGTATGGATAACCCCATATTCTGGCAGTATTTATTGAACGGATATGTCTATAACATCTTTGGAGTAATACATTCATTGTGTGTGCACTGTATTCTGTTCAGTTGGTATTTGGTAGGCTGTATAAAGATGTAGACTCAGGGCTTCACCCTTGCTTTTGCAGGCAGTCTATCAGTTGAGCGATACCTCCAGCCATTTTAGCTCTGGTTATTTTTCAGTTTCACTTTTTTACCTAGGCTCTCTTGTACTGTGGTTCTGCTATTTATCCTTTCCACCATAGTTAGCATGACAGGTACACTTGACACTACCCAGATATTGGTTGAAATGGGATTGTTTGAATTTTTTGACTAGGCTGACCTCAAACCATGACCCTCCTAATCACTGCCTCATGAATAGCTAGGATTGCAGGTCTGAGTATCTGAGTATTTTATACATTAAAGCATGCCATTCCAGTTATTTCTTCAACATATCCTTGTTGTTTGCCTTCTATATTTCTATATTTCTGTGTCAAGTCATCAAATCCATCAAAATATACATACAAATATACTTGTTAGGATATTTTTTAGGATTTAGGTTTTGCATGAAATTGTATCACCATTTTGTGTATTTGTGGTCTAAATGAACAAATCACTTAGCCTTCTTGTGTCACAATTTTGCAATTGCAAATAAGAATGATTATCTTTGGCAGTTAGGATTATATAAAATTACATATGAGAACATTTAGCAGGATGCCTATTTCTATCATTATGAACTCAGTAAGTGATTTTTTTGTTGATGGAATTGAAGATTGAACTCAGGGCCTCATCATTGCTAGCTGGGTACTCTACCATATGAGCCACACCTCTAGCTTCAGTAAATTATTTTTCTGTGTGTGTGTGTGTGTGTGTGTGTGTGTGTGTGCGCGTGTGTGCGCGTGCGTGCATGCTGATCCCTTGTACTCAGGGTCTGGGTGCTGTCTCTGAGTTGTTTTTGTTCAAAGCTAGTGCTCTGTCACTTGAGCTGCAGCCCCTTGAGCTATAGCCCCATTTGCCAGCTTTTTGGTAGTCTATTGGAGTCTCATGGTGTTTCCTGCCCAGGTTGGCTTCAAACTGTGATCCTCATATCTCAGCCTCCTGAGTAGCTAGGATTGTAGTCAGGAGCCACTAGCACTTGGCAGTAGATGATGGTTTTTATTCTTTATTCTTCTGTTCTAACACTTGGCTATAGTTTTTAATAGTTTTCATAAACACTATTTAGGTAAAGTCAACTAGAATTTTATTGAGATGAGACACATTGTTATACTGAGAATTGCTGAAATTGAGATAGAGTACTAGCTCCTATTTTTGGAATTATAAACTTCAGAATTCCATAGCATCTATTTCATGTTACAATTTGTATAAATTATATATTACTTAAATTTTATATTAACATTTATTTCATAATTTAACTTCCTAAGAACTTAGAGACCATTATCTAGTTCTTGTTAAAATGAATGAAATCAGCAACTAAAATTTTTCATAATACCTCTCAGGAATATTTAATAAGAGAAAAATGTACTTGATGATATTTTAAATTTTTCTCTTCTTTGTATTGAGAATGGTTTGTGAGAATGAATATAAGAATATAATCACTTTTTTATTTTTAGACTTTAACACTTTATTTTGCAAATAAAAGTTGGAGATACACTTTATTTTGCCCAAACATATGTTACAATTAGGTTTTCTTTTGCTTAATATGTTAATAACATTTATAAAACTAGGTATCACAGAAACAGAACAAATTTAAAACACTGTATGATGCATTTAAAAATGAATTACATGTTTATTGAACCACTAAACAATAAAAAGTTTATTAACTAATTTAATAGTTCCTATACTAACATGCATTTAGCTCTGTAAACACTACATAGGTTCACAGTATTTGATTTGATAAACCAATTTGTAAAAACGATAGTTTAATCAATAAATTTACTCTCTTCTATATTACAGGAAAACAACCAAAGTTTTAAGTAGCATTTTAAGAACAGATGAATTTGAAGATAAAGAATTATTCGTTTTATATTTTGGACACCTGCAAATGAAGTGGATCTAATAACAATAACTGTAATGGACTGTGACAATTCAATTTATTTTTAATTTTGATGGTTGGCTATTTGGCTTCTCCTAAAATGAGAAAAATATTTTAAACTATAAAGAATTTTCTAATCAGTTTCAGCTTTGCAGGCAGTTTCCTGCAAAAATTGGGAAGTAACACTGGAAAGTAGGAATTTGGTTAGTGAAGTGGGAAGACTGTGAATTTATTATTTGCATGCTACTTGCAAGTTTTTCTTTTTCATCACTTGTAATAATGGAATGGAAATGTAAGCTGTAAAGATTCTCAAATATAAAGTATTTGCTACGATGTATATCTGGTACATAATTTCTCGTTGCTTTTAAAATTGCTTTTGTTCTTTTTCCCACTAATTTTATACCAGCACTTCAACAGATCATTACGATCACTCCAGAGGCTTAGAATAATTCAGGATGTTCAATAGTTATCAGTAACAGAAGAATTGTTAAGATATTTATTTTGAAATATATGATTGGCTTCTAGGTTTCAAATAATAACATTGTCTTAGATTCATAGCTACTAGCAGAATTTGACAATTGGAAAACAACAGTAGTGAATGAACCTGAAGTTTAAATAATTGCTACTTACATCACTAATCAGATTATATAAATAGTGGAAGTTGAACAATTGCAAAATAAAAATATTTTTAGTTCCAAAAGAGGGAAAATGTTGGCATTTGAAAATAACTGAGGTTCATTAAGTTTCAGCTCTATAATTAATAACAAGAACATATGGATAAGGAATTTGGGGGTTCAAACTTTTATTTCCTAGAAATTTGATACAAGTCTATATTTTTCACTCTGGATGATACTGTTATCTAAAAAAAATGAAGTTACTTCCAGAAGAATGTAAAAATTGCTGATAGAAAGGTAAGTATAAAGTCTCTACTTCTTTCAGATCCCTGGGTCTACTGGCAAGGCATTCAAGGTCATCAGTAGGCAGAAAGTTTACTTTTCACTGAATGTGAATGCCTAAAGCCAATACCTTTTTCTTCACTGGTTTGGGAGTTAGTTTTCCAGATTTCACTTTTAGTCCATGGTAGATTTCCCTTCTTGGTCTTTTAGTACTTTGTAGTACTTTGTAGTACTTTTAGTACTTGGTTTTTCATTACTTGGTTCTGCAGAGAGAGGATTTTTTTTTAAAGAAAGAAAATCTTTTCATTAACCATAAATTTATTGCTTATTTTAAAATGAGATATTTAGGGTCCTTTTTTAAAAATTTGTGTTTTGTCCCTACTATTTTCCTTGTATAACATAGATTTCAGTATATATGTATATATGTGAAAATGCACACACATACACATTTACACACTCCTACAAACATACACAAAAATATATGTATAATAGCTGGTGTCAGAATTACCATAGAATAAATTGTTTTGCTTTTATATTTGCCTATTCTCAAGTCCTTTTGATTCTAGTTTTAAAATTTTGTTAGAATAATTCCAATATTCAGTCTAATTCCAATTTTTCCAGTATTCAGTCTAGAGAGCTTTTCCATTTAGCACAGTTATCAGCCAGAAGCTCTTTCCAGTTACTCTACCATAAAACTATTTTGGAAACTACCTAGACTTCATATACTTTTCTAGTTGGACACTGAAGTGGGCCAACTAATACAATATTTAGTATGTTCTAATTTATGTTTTTGAAAAAAGACTTGTATAATTTTATTTTTAAAATAAATTTATAGCCAACATTTTCAAGAAAACTCTGTAAAAAAACCCACTTAGGTTTCAGTCTTTTGAGCCATTCTTACTATGTTTAATCAGATTGAGACTGTAAAGACTGTTTTGTTACCTACTTGCCTTTGTACACATGTATAACTTGTTTAAATAATCACTGTACAACTCCATTATTGTTCTTTGCTTTGTAAATATTAAAAGAGTTGAGCCAGGTGCTGTTTTATAGTTCTTGTCATCTTCAGAGTTTAACAAAGACATATGCACACATGTAGACACATTTCTGTGTGTTTGTATGTGTGAAATATTGCTACAGAAGCTACGAAATACTCTTTTTTTTATTGAAGCTGAATAAGATCTGAAGACATAGAAAATTGTTCAGTAAAAGTCAACGTTCCATAACTGAAAAAGTTAGAAAATACTTTAGGCCAAATTTTATATTTATGAAGAAGAATTTTATTTCAGTCTTCCTTTTCCTTTCACATTGTTTACACATTAAAGAAAACTTTACAATTCTCCTTTTTGAAGGGCCATCCTCTCAAAGGAATTTGGACTAGAGAATAATGGGGAACATTTCTGTATGTATTTTCCTTAACAATGTTTATAGCCAAAAGAAATGCTTATTAAAATATTTGCAAAGAAGAGTAAAGTATGCAGTTTTATGTCACTTGTAATCATTTTCATGTAGAAATTAGAGAATATATATCTTTTCCCTTGAGGTTTTGTGTTTGTTTTGTATTACCTCTTTATTTATTTGGGTTAAAATTTTCAAGTACTATATATTTATAAATTCTTACTAAAGAATTTAACACTTTTTATAAGAAAAGTCAACTGTCTGATAATACACCAAAAGCATATGCCTAAAATTTGAATCAGATTTCTTCAAAGTAAATCTTTTTCTTTGCTTGATAATGTTTTACTTGCATAAAGAGAATTGTGATGATAATCAATGCTATAGAAATAATATTACTACATAGTACTCTCACATCACAAAATTGTTCACTTGAGAAAAACCAGTTTTATCTGACAGATAGAAAGCTGATAACCACAATTGGATTTTATGCCTGTGTAATAATTTTTAAAGTAAGGTAACAGAATAGACATGAGATCATGTAACTAAAGTAGAATAGACTTTAAGGAAAAATGTTTAATAGGTTTAACCCTTTATTACATATAACACTCAACTAAAGATGTCCTATGACATAGTACTCTAAAAGTTTCAATTTTAAGTAATTTTTCTTTATCATAATTTCACAGTTTTGTAATGTTACATACACAACTCTTCACATTTAGAATTTTGCCACTACATTATTTTAGGTTGATTATAGTGCAGTAAAGCAATTAGCATCAAATATTTAGAGAAGTGTAGTGAGCTTTGAAAATTGAGCTAAAATTCACATAAAGGAGAGTTATAGCTTATACTTTTGAAGAATACACTTGCAGTATATATACCAAATAAAAGTACACAGTAGATCAACAACCACAAACAATTTTCTAATTGACAGTTTTGATAATACCACTTGTTTGCACTGGGAACTATAAAGAAAATGCCTAGGAACATCTAATTGTTGTTCAGGATCCACCATGAAGCTGAAAAGAAAAAAATATTTTTAATAATGAAGCTTTTAGTATATATGTACATATGTGAGTATACACATACACATTTGCACATATTCTCACAAACATACACCAAAATATATGCATTAAAGCTGGTGTTAGAATTATCATAGAGTAAGTTCAATAACAACTTTCAGGGCAAAGGAAAGTGTGAATTGTAGAGAGAGCATTACTGTACCTTTAATCTTCATAATTGTTTTTCTAGTCAGTATTTACAGACTGAGATGACACTGAATTCTCCCTAAGGAACTGTTATCTTTTGACTATTTTAGTAAGTATTCAAAGAATTTTTTGTTATATATGAATTGAGCTTATCTTGGCAATGAGATTATAAATGGTCTGATGGTAAAATCACATTGTTGTTGATCTGCGCAATACAAGTATTAATTAGGAAATACAACATGTAAGATACTGGTATACATAGATTTCAGAAAGACTGAGTATAAGTTGAGTGTACTTTAAATAATATTTTTACCTACATCCTAACACTGGAAATAGTTTTCCTAAACACAATATCCCAAACACAGACCCATAGCAAGGAAATGCGCTGGTGGAATGATGTAAGAAACAAATAGGAAGAAATAAAATTTGCTTCCAAAGCTGTTAGCTTGTGGACAGCAGTATTTTGCTTCCTTGTGTATGCTCTTTTCCCATACATGTAGGACTTTCATTCTCTTATGGCCAAGAGTTATCTTGTCTGGAGTTCTTAAGTTCTTTTTTTTTAAATTTTTTTATTTTGTGAAAATACTGTACAGGGGGCAAGATAATGAGTACATTTCTTGTAAAGCATTGTAGTCTCCTCCTTTGTTTCCCCTTCCCATCCCTTCCCATCCTCTCCCCGCACCCTCACACAATTGTTCCCCCCCACCAAAGTTGTAAAGTTCGTTTTCGACATAACGACTTGTACTTCTCATTGTTGCAATGGGTCCACCTGTATCCCTGAAAGAACATACAACCATCCAAGAGAAGTCCAAGAAATATGATAGATTTATCCAACACTTGGAATATACCATCAGAAGGCCAAATCTGAGGATAATGGGTGTAGAGGAGCACCTAGAAACAGAAGTTAATGGTCTAGGAAATTTGTTTAACAGGATCCTAGCAGAGAACTTCCCAAACATGCGAAAA